TGCCCGGAATGAGAACTAGATATGAGTATTCGGAGGAGCTCTTGTCGAAATATTCTAAGCACGGTGCTTAGAATGGAATGAAATGTGTATATGTTATCAATCAAAACAGGTGAGGGCGAGCTATACCGAAAGGGGCTAGCCCATAACATGATCTGGTAGCCCCTGCCTATTGTGGTTAGTCTGTATGTCAGCTGACCCACGTGGATCGGCCGTAGATCCATGGATCCTCCGTAGCAGAGCGAGAGCTTCATATTAACAACGCCCAGGGCTTACCCCCTGGCGGCCTTTGCCCCAGCAGGGGACGGCGGGACACATGCTTAGGCGGTGAACTGCGGCCGAAAAATATAACTAACTAACTAACGAGAGCTTCATACAATTCAAGCATTCTACACCTACCTCAGCTATCAAATTACATCCTAATCCCATTACCTCTTCATCCCCAACATACCGAGTGAGGGCTTAATACTCACATTTCCATTCCCTGGTCATCATCATTCACTCATCAGAGGATTCGCCATGAGCGCTGAGGGTTTCCTCGCGGGCGTCGAAGGCGGCGTGGTGCCGGTGGACTGCCACGATCGCGTGTTGCAGATAGCATTCAACTATATGGATCAGGGGCTGTGGACCGGCAACGGCGTGTTCGATGTTGTCGAGAAGCTGCACGCGCGCGGGTGGTCGTTTGGCGAGGGGGAGTTGAGGTTCAATCGGTAAGTGACGACCCCCAATACCACCGTACTACGAAGACTAATCATCACAGCACCCTAGATATATTCTATCTCGCCCAGCTTGCCGCGGCCATCTACCGCTCCTCCTCCCAACTCGACGGCGACTTTCCCTCCCCCTCCGATTTCCCCGCCTTCTACACCACGCACCGCGCACTCCTCCACCCCTCCGCATGGCGCTCCTACTACTCCGCCGCCTTCCTCACCCAGCCCACCACAGCGCGCTTCTACCGCCTGCCCGACCTCCAAGATCTGCCCGACTCCGACTCCCCACTGGCGCAGCCACGCCAGCCACCCCCCGGCGGCGGCGCAGCACACGCCACGAAACTCCCTCGCTGGGCCTACAGCGTCGAGCGCACGCACCGCAGGCAGCCCTCCCTTCCGCTAGCGACTCTCACGCGATTAGCCCTCAGCACGCTCGAGATGACCACCGCGCGCCTGCGCACGGTCCACCCCAGCGTGCCACCCTACTCCGAAACGCAAGCGCGCTTCTGGCTCGAGGACATGAAGCTCGGTTCCCCTATGCCATCCGGCTTAACAAAGGCACAGTCCCAGCAAGCGTGGAAGCCGAACAGCTTCGGCGTAATGGTAGCGCAGGGAGCGCAGGATATGTACGCGTGGGAAGCGCAGTATGGCGCGTGGGATAGTGGTGTGCAGTGGTGTGGATGGCCGGATGGTGGGGTGGAGGTGCAGGCGTGGGAGAGGGGGTGGGAAGAGGAGGTAGGGAGTCAGGAGGAGGTGGAGTTTTTGGCTGCTGTTGTGGTGGAGGAGACAGTGGGGGTGGAGGTGAATAAATTGGACTTTGCGGTGCGCTCACATATATTGTTGGGGTTGATGCGGGCTGCGGTTGAGGGGGGACGGGAGAGGGAAGCTTTTCTGGAGGAGCTGGAGAAGGGAATGGCATTGAAGGGGCGGATTGGGGAGGAAAGGGCAGGGAGGTGGCTGAAGGAGGCCTTGAAGGTCGTGGAGCCATATGTGAGAATGTGGGAGGGTGCGTGGCCTGCTGTGGAGGAGGAGAGGGCGGAGATGCTACGACGGATTTTGGTGGAGAATGGACAGTTCTTTGCAAGATGGAAATTTTCGCCGCTTTTGAAAGAGTTTAACTTTGAGCTGGGTCCGAGAGAACAAGAGTAGGGTGGTAGTTCTCCGCATCGTGACAGTTCCTTTTACTCCAAGAACTCATGAAAGGCAGGTCACGTACCTGGTGGAATGCTGGGGATGTCTGTTGCAGCAGGATCTACAACTCAGGTTAATACTGTTGCTCATTAGAAACAACCTAACCGACTTACATTTCCACTCTATGTCAATGCCATTCAGGTCATGCTCTGTCACAAACGAGACGATGTTCGCGACAACTATATCCTGATTACCCGGCTCGACCGCGGAGCGGAAAATGTGATACGTAGCCGGTTCGGCGGAGAAGCTCCAGTCACCAAGCGACAGGATCTTCTTGAAGCCAGGCAACTGCTTGAACAACTCCCACTGGGCTTGTATGGGGCTGGCGTTGACGGCGTAGCTCGGGCTGATGTTCCGGGTGCGCCTGTTGGCGACTCGGATTCGGTGCAGAAGTCTTTGTTGATACCGCACTGGCTGTACTTGTTCTAGAGGCGGGATAGCTAGCGGTTGCAAAGCACAGGCTGGGGATTCGTAGATGTCAGAGGGACATACACAACACGGACAAGAATCCAAGCTCGCACGAGTCGTACCCGGTCATGGCTGCTGTGTTCCAGATAAATTGGAGCCCAAGTCTAATCAACATAGTCGTCTATCAGGGAAACAGTGATAGAATTGGCTACATGTGCTCATAAAGACGATGAGTCCAAAAAGCAAAGGAAAATTTCGAACCATAGCTTATACATGTCTTACCGAGTAAGCTCTAGAATGCACATCACCCTCTTTACTCCGTGGTTCCTGCCTGGATAATTCCGCCTCCGACGGGGACGCGGAATTCCTCGAAGAAACGCCGAGTAAACAAAGCCGAAACGCGTCTCGCGTCGTTTATAGAGAGAGAAAAAGAGAAAACAATGATAGGAGATTTCCCATGCATCTTTTATCTTATCGATAAGTGAATTACTTTTTATCGACCTCCACGAATTACGATGTAAGTATTAAAGGAACAAGAAATATGTGTGGGTCGCAAAATGGGGTCGTCGGCCGTGCGCCCGAGATCGATCATTTGTCGAGCAATATTGTTTGATTGTCTTCAGGAGAATGAAAGCACAAATAAGAGATGAATTAATTAGCGATTAAGGCTAGTGTTATCCCTGGCTATATTGCACCATGGCAAGCATTGAGGTTTTGGGCATAATGGGGGTCTTAAGCAAAGGATGACCAGCTTGTAATGGTGCCCGTTTCTTCTGGCAGCAACTCTGTTCTTCCTCATCTGAAATAATCCTCTGTTTGGAGTCAAGATTTGGCCTGCGGACAAGCCCCCTATGGTGAGAACGAGTTCAGCATTCAAACAATTTTGCACTATGGTTCAGACTAAATGCAATAAATAACACTTATCATCATGAGATTGCAGAAACTACGGTGTAGGTAACTAGATGGTGGCGTGTTGAACAAAGTCCCTCATAACTACGATGTTGCAGAGATTCTGTATGGTCCAGGCTCGAGGGACTTCCAGGGCGAATTTTGTCTTTATTGTACTCCGCGGAGTGCATGTTTCTATGCCGGCACTAGGGATGTAGCAGCTTTCTCCACCATGCTAAAGAATTTTAAGGAATTCTACCGACATGACCCACCTATGTCTCAAAGTCATATCATACACTATACAGATGGAGCTCCTGCTGCGCTACCTCCCCTTCTTCTCGAGAAGGGGCTTCTCGCAAAACTTAAGAGCTCAAACGTTTTGAAGGATGCGCTGAGTCTATCGTCCATATTTGAAGTGGAAACAATCCAGAACGTACGGAGTACACAGTAGAACATTGAAACATTACTTTGGCTTAGGGTAAGACAGTCCTTATGACCTGAACAGCCTTGCAAATATTTACGGTCTTGATTTACGAAAGGAAGCTGTTTCCGGTTAATATTAAACTTTCTATACTCGGGAGTTCTCATTCTAGATTCAATCTCCCTAATGTATGGCCATCAATGTCGCTTCACATGCTAGTTAGACACCTTACCCTTTTGACATGTCTAGATGAAGCAGTCACTTGGAACTATTCTCTCGCCAATTATCTAAGGGTCTAGAATGGCGAACGTAAATCCAGTTGTCTTATACCCCATGGGGCTTGGTGGATTGTAGAAAGATTAAGCATTTGACATCCATTCACCAGAATGCTTACTCCCTAGATCGGAGAGGACGGGGCTTTTGTTTCCGACTTCCGTCAGTTGCCAGTCCCCCAAACGTCGATTTCATTTTCTAGGAGTGATACGAATCCGCCTGAATAGGCCTAGAAGGAACGAGCAGTTATGAGTAGATTTAAATGTCTCACGAAATTTATCCCTAAATGGGTATCAATTACGCATGGAAATGCTCGTCTCGAGTCAGAGAACGGCCTTGTTTCGGGCCAATGAGTAGTGTCTAAGGAGTAGGAACGGAGTGTGTTTCGAGTACAAGAACCTCCGGCAGGCTCGGGTGTTGAAGTTCAGGCCCACGAGAAGGATTCTGTTCCGCCGTTAAATCGCCAAATTCAGCATTGTGCTCGGGGGTTTCTCCGCGAGACTGACGATCTTACCGTTGCTGTTGGTAGCTGTGGGGCTCCGGTGTTGGAAATAAAGGGATCGGCAGTTTTAAGCTGCTACCGCGACCATCTCCGACTGGTTCACCCCTTCAGAGGTGGAGGCGGGTTAGATTAGTCGTACCATTGCATGTTTTGATCAGAGATTACGTAGTGAATTCTCTTCCACTAGAATCCAGGGTAACAGGCACGAGGTTTCACGAGAAGCATATATAAGACGCTCTGCCGGTCCAACCTTGACATTTGACAGTTGTGACAGCCACTCCACTATCTTAATACCATGACAATGCCTTCTATCGCCCAGACCCTTCCTGTTCTCGCCGCCGTGGCCTTCCAGGCTGCTGATGCTGCCATGGGCCCTGCCTTCAGCACCGGTCCTGTCTCTGACGGCAGCTGGATCCGCGAGGCCACCTCCACCTTGGTCCTCCCCAAGGCTCCCAGTGGCTCTTCCGGCGTTGCTTCCCTCTGGGTTGGCATGGGCACCTCCAACGGTGACCTGGTCCAGTCTATTGCCGATAACTGGGACTCCGACCACTGGAGCGTCTACGCTTACACTCTGCTGAGCACCGGCGGTGAGTCGAACTTAAGAACCACATGTAATAAGAGTCAAGAAACTAACAATCTGAACAGCCCAGTCGCAGATGCCCGTCCAGGGCCCTGCCACCGATGCCACCGAGGGTGACAAGATCACTATGCACTGTAAGAACACCGCACCCTAAGAGACCGGAATATGTGGCTAAACGTGAATACAGACAAGTTCGACGACAACAGCGGCAACTACACTCAGACCGTTCAGCTGAACGGCAAGACCGTCTCGACCCTCTCTACCAGCGACGAGCACGCTCAGGGCTGGGGTAGCTCCGTCGAGTGCGGTGAGGACAACTGCGGCACTATCGGTGCTCACAGTAAGTTTTCCTGCAAAGAATGAACTAATTATCATTTTATGGATCGTTGGACTGACGCATGTTGTTTTACAGAGTGGACCGACACCAAGATCATCTTGGACTCCGCTGACGCCAACTACATCAACACCGTCGGCAAGGGCGAGGGTGTCACCGGCGAGATGTCCACCAGCGACAACGGCAAGACCTGGACTGTCACCACCATCAACATCCCCGAGTTCACCTTCGGACAGTCTTCTTAAGGTCACATAGACATAATTACTAACAATTTAACTGTACTATATTGCAATATTCTGCAAAGTTATGTTGCTAGAAAAGCTTCTACATCCGTTCGTATTTAGTAGAGTATTTTCCATAGCCTTGATCAATTCTATGCCAACAACCCCTTGATATGTATGTCCCTTCGTGTGTAAGAAACGCGTAAAACATTACAACCTGGCAGATAAACGACGAGGTGCTTCTGGAATATGAACGGGCGGTAATCTCTAGGCATCATTCTCACTCGAATCCTCACTCAACTCATAATCGCTAACCTGCTGTGGTGGACACATCAAGAGAATGGAAGAAGGCCCGTAGACAATGCGAATGTAATTTCTCCAACGATGGTTTCCGGGTGAATCTATTAACCTTCCTTGTGGTGAAGGTCTGAATTTTAGACCTTGGCGCAACTGGTCTTCGTTGAAGCTCCTCCTATGCACTGTGTATCTGCCGCCACCGCGGGGGAAGTAGTCTGACGAAAAGGAGCTTGAAATCGGAGGTTTGTCCTCCCAGATAGTCTGGAGACTGGCCTAGACACGGCATCTTTGTACTTAGATGTTCGAATATCGGCTTCCATTTGCCCGTTGTAAGCGTAATATTTCGAAATGTGTCATTTTTGACGGTATCCTTGTGCTGCGTAAGGAACTCAAGTAGAGCATCCTGAGTCACTGGAAAGCCAGCTAAAGACAGAATCTCCAGCGCCGGAAGAGAAAGTTGTTCGGAAATGGCCGTGAATAGCCACTCATATCCCCGATCACTCCGAGTCATATGATAAAGCTGCAAGTCCAGATGATGCAGCTTTGGAGTTGACTTCAGTAATTGCAAGATACCCGGGAGTTCGCGTGACGCTGTCCGGGAGCTGCGTCTTCTAGGTAGCTCGGCTACACTGCCAAAAGACGTGTTGAGAATCTTGGCTCCTCCCTGATTCCTCATTCCATATTCTCACGTCTCGTTGGACATCTCTGTGCATAGACTCAATTTCAGTGTGTGCAGATTTGCGCCGATGACATCGCGGCCGGCTTGATCGAGGTTTGTCAGTTGAAGTGTGTGATCTATCAAGAAGACACTGCATCTGATAATATCTCGATAAATGCTCGACCGGCTGATTGAAACTTTGCTTTCAACAAGAGCAGAAATCACAATCCAATGCACCTTTGTAGCCTTGGTCCAGATCTCCGGCCAAAGACCCCTCTCGGGGCTGACTCGTAATTCTGGTCCGAGTTGGATTGCCGCATCTAGCTCAACACTGTCGAGGTTCTCGAACTGCTGGAAAACTCGAGCCAAACGCCCAATCACGTATTGTGCAGACACGTTCTGTTGAGTTTGTCTCTGTTCTCTCAGCTAGTGGATGTCGGAGTGGATATTCTTGGTCTTCCAATTAAATGATTTCCATCGTTCCGGATCGAGTTTTTCTTCTGCCTCTTTGGCGGCGAAGTATATCGCGACGACTGTGATATGGTGAACTTGTTGGCGTAGTATCGGATTACTAATAAGGGTATGCAGCGACTGGAAACTCTGTTTGGTCAGATCAATAGTAGGACGGATGCTGAAATGAGGTCCAAGACAGCGTTCGCTGAATGTCCGATCCACAAGGCGAAGAGCCTTAATGCTCTCTAGGTCTAGAAAGCCTAAGATTATCTGGAAAAGCTCCGACGGGATACAGAGCCACGACATCGCAAAAGTTACAAGTACTGGGCCAAAGGTATGAGCGCACTGTTGTCGAGAGCGGCTTTAGTTATTAAATGAGAGATGGTCAATCTGCCGTGTGGATATGTCTTAAATAGTCATTCGCTAAGAAGGGTTGACCCTTTTTGGTACAGTGGTACATCTGTCATATTCTGGAGTGAGGGGTCAGCAAATCCTATTTCCTAGCAGATACAAAGCTTATCGATGAGGACCTTATAGCCGTTTTTCTGTCTGTCAGCTCGTGGTATTTTGTTCGCTCTTGCCAGTGTCGATCCCATTACCGCCCTATGTGACCCACTAGCCAGTGATATCTGTCCGGCCCCGCCATAACTTCGCCTCAGATCGCTCCCGATTAAGAGGACCCAGTCTTCCTCGACATTCGCCCAGAAAGCTCTTGATAGTATTCCAGGCAAGCATTTTGGCCTCGCAATTGCACGGCCTTTCTGTCATGGCTTTACTCAAATGTAGTTCAGTCTAATAAGTTACCTTCGCAGCCCAGCAATTGATCGATGTTTTACGGAAGTCATCTTTCTATTAAAACAAGTAGCATCGAGTTGTGGGAGAAGAACGATATAAATAATTCTCTGGCTGTTTGGCAAATAACAAGGTAACTAGACACGCCCACTCTGACAGGACTGGCATAATGAATCTAGGGGTGTGATTTGTAATTAGCTCCAGAAAAAGGTAATAATAAGTACAATCACAAGATTTGCGCCAAGAGCTTGTTGGAACCTTTTTCCCCTAGCTCAGCTTGAGCCAAGCCCTGTCATAATTGGTGAACTCGGGTGTTTGGTAGTTCGTGCATTTTAGTATACGCCAATTGTTTCTCTTTTATCCGAAGAGTAAGGGTCCGTTCAAAAGAGCCAGTACCTACCGTGGCCCTATGAAGGCATCTTAGATATTATTTGCCCAGTTGAGAATCAGATTTGATGTATCAACTATGCGAAGGTACTTGTGCGAAACTGGATGATGTCTCGATCGAGAATACTAGAAAATCAGTATTATCGGGGCATTGTTTGTGAGGAATGTAGTCATTATGTCAGATGTTTCCGAGCATGAGGTGAAGTTTGCAAAGCTGCTGGGAGAAAAAGTCTTCTGCTGGCACCGAAACGGCGAATTCTATATTTCCAGCCTTACCAATATTTCAATTAGATAATATAATTATGTCTACAACCGTCAAATCGCTGATTTCAAAGGATCAGATATTTTGGCATTCAAACATATTGAGGCTTAGAGAACAAGAAAAACTAAGCACACCATCACTGCCTACACTGTAAGGTCAGAAAGCCTGGGATTGGCCCGTCGTATATTTTAGCGCACATTCCTGCTGTTGTGGGTCCTCGTACATTTTAGCGCAGCCTGGTCAATCGCCTTGCCTCATAATCAGAATACTAATCTGCCTTGATATTGAACCTAAATTGAGCTTATTGACGACGATTCTGGACAATCCTGATCGTACTCAGATACACGGATGCCTTGAGGGATCATGGCCCTAATAATAGAGCGAAAAATAAACGAGCTTGGCAAGTTCTTGTGGACATGATATATAGCTACCGTCACCCCTAAGGAAATCATGGCCATTAGTTAGAAACAAGAAACAGCAAAGAAGTGTGAGGAACATGACACCAACAACAGCAACGTCGGCCTCAGCGACGGCATCTCCTACCTGTATTGATATCGCCCCTGGTAAGAATGGATATCTACCTCCAGAGGCATGCGGCTCGCTTCTTTTCTACGAGCCGTCTTTCGGGGCAGCGATTTTGTTCGCCGTTTTATTTGGTCTCACAACATTAGCTCATATAATTCAGGCTTTTGTGTACAATAAGGTCCGCTCCTTCGATCTCTCGCAGTTGAGTTATGCTCACTATTTCATAGCGTTACGCATGGGTGGTCATCATGGGTGCCACGTGGGAGCTTTTGGCTTTCGTTTTCCGGGTTATGCAGACGCGTCATCAAAACCAGGACATTTGGGATACCATGTACGAGCTATTCTTTCTATTAGCACCCATTTGTGAGTATCCTCTCCTGTTTTTACGAAAAAATGATGCGATTCCATTAAAGAAGTGCTGTCTAACACGCCGCCCAGGGATCAACGCATTCATCTACATGACACTCGGCCGCATGATCTACTACTTCTTGCCGCATCAAAGACTCGCAAAAATTTCTGCGCGCCGTTACGGAATGTTGTTCGTCTTCTTAGACATCTTAGCATTCTTGGTCCAAGTTGCCGGCGCCTCGATGTCAACCAATGACAGCATGGGCCAAAAGTTCGTCATGCTCGGACTTCATCTCTACATGGGCGGCATTGGGCTGCAAGAGCTCTTCATCCTCTGCTTTCTAGGCCTGACCATCAAGCTCCAACGGAAAGTATCTGTATTGAGATACATGGAGGGCGGGGAAGATGTCAAAACGCCGGTTCGACAAGGCCTTTTCCATCCTTCGCGACTATTCTATGCGGTTTATTTCGCTCTTGCTATGATTTCCGTCCGGATCATCTTTCGACTCTGTCAGTATGCGCGGGGGTATGATGAGGCAAATCCGGTTTTGACGACCGAGTCGTATGAGTATGTTTTGGATGCGGCGCCAATGTTTTTGGCTCTGCTTGCGCTGAACATGTTTCATCCGGGGCAAATTATTCGGGGGGAGAGGTCGGATTTCCCAAGGCTAACTCGTGCTGAGAAGAGGGAGCTTAAGCAGCAGAGGAAGGATATGAAAAGGGACAAGAAGAGGATGAAAAGAGAGTTTGATTTGGAGAACTGATGGCGGTAGATAGTTTGATTCTTAGAGTTATGTTTCCATAGACGTTTCCTGAATTATGACATTTTTTCATGGGTGTCACCCTACGCTCGAGGTTTAATTTAGCAATGGTGGAATTGACTATATTTTAAACACGTAGTTGCTAACATTCCCTTTATCGTAGGATAATGATGCCTCTTCGACGTTCTGTTTCACTTGATTCATTCCGTTCAGAAATAGTCGCCCCTGCATGCATCATCCCTACAACAAAAATTACTTCTGGGTTCCAATTACAGATACCACAAAAAGCGCAATAGGGACTGAAAGTCAAGATTTTGGCTTTTGGTTTTTTCTTATCTACCGGCTGTGAACTAGATATATCTCACTTTTCAATCAAAAAAATAAAAAATTTTAATCAAGTCCATATCAAACGAGTGACACCAACAAAAGAAAATTGAAGAAAATTAATACAGACAAGTTCACTCTTCCAATCAATCATTCCATCGCAGCGCATGGAGGATTTGAATCGCTGCCATACGCCGAATCAATCATCGCAACACGACCAGATAGTCACGACAAGCTTAACTTTCCGATAGAACGACCGATTTTCTGATCCTCAAGTTCAGATCTAGTTGAAAGAAGGAGCAGCGGTCTCAGAAGGGACGGGAGCGTCTTCGCCGAAGACATTGGAACCGGGGAAGCCGGCACCAGGGAAGCCAGAGGGCTCAGCGCCGCCGGAGGGCTGGGGAAATCCGGAGGGGAAGCCAGAAGGAGCGGGAAAGCCACCATCCTGGGGACCGCCGGAAGGCTGAGGGAAGCTAGAGCCCTCGGGGCCGCTGGGGGATCCACCGAACTGGCGCTTCTCGTTGAAGATGCCGGTGGGAGCGGGAGCTTCGCCGTGCTCAGAGCCGGGGAAGCCGGAGGGCTGGGGCTTACCGGAGGGTTCGGGGCCACCGGGGAATCCACCAGAAGGGTCAGGGAAGCCGGAGGGGAAGCCGGAGGGAACTCCAGAGGGCTCGAGGAAACCACCGGAAGGCTCAGGGAAGCCAGAGCCGCTAGGGAAGCCGGTGGCATCGCCGAACTGGCGCTTCACGTTGGCTGTGGCAGTGGGAGCATCCTCACCGGCGCCAGGGAATCCGGAGGGCGCGGGCTGTCCGGACAGCTCAGGGCCACCCTGTGGGGGAGGGCCAGAGGGCTCGGGGAATCCAGAGGGCCCGGGGAAGCCGGAGGGCTCAGGGAACCCGGACGGGCCAGGGAATAAAGAGGGGAATCCTGAAGGGAAACCGCCGTGGTGGCCGTGAGGAGCATCACTAGGGAAGCCCGAAGGAGCGGAAGCGAAGGTACCAGTGGGAGCAGCACCGTCGAACTGACGCTTCTGGATGTCGGAGCCCTCCTCGGGACCGGGGGTGCCGGAGGAAGGATGAGGAGGGAGGCTACCAGTGCCAGAGGGAGGAGGAGGCAGCGAACCAGTCGGGGTGCCAGTAGGAGCAGGGCCAGAAGGCTCGGGGAAGAAACCGAAGTGAGGAAGAGCGGCGGCGCAGCCGACCAGCCCGGTGAAAGCGACAGCAGTGAACTTCATATTGAAACAGAACGTAAGGACAGAATAGAAGAGCTTGTCTTGAAAAGAAAAAGGTGATAAAGAAGTGAATGATCGTAGCGATGGTTTCTGGTATGTCTGGGGGTGGCATGGCCCAATTTATAACTTTTTCTGTAGGCGTAATGGGCTACCTCCTTCGGACGGAAAAAGACTACCGTGTTGCTGATAGCTACATGGAAGAGCTAAGGTCCGCCCTCGCTATGACCTCCGGAGTCTTCTGCGCCCTGGATGGGGCAATCCAGAAGCAGATCGCATGGCCCACGTCGCTTGGGCAAAAAAGCAAGACTGGTGTGCCGTGCGCCACAGCCAAATGAGGATCGAGAGCCCCGAGTCGTGGACACGTCTGGAACCTCCGTTAGTCAGGTACGGTGATTCACGTTGAGTGCTCGACAGGGGTGTCCACCGTCCACAAGCAGCGTGCAGGATATAGGGGCGGATCCTTAAACACAGGTTGTTTTGCCTTGCGTATGGTATGTGGGCCGTGCGGAATCGCCATTGGACAAGGACCCACGGGGCTGGCGTCAACCAGTGTATCCACAGAATGATGAGACGAGCAGACGCGTGCTTGACTTGATCTTTTTATGCTTATTATGACGTCTAAATCGGTATGCAGGATTCTTGGTGGTAATCCTACGACAGCGACTGTCTTATCCACGCGTGAGGGAAGTAGGAGTATGTTGGAGCTCCTGTTCTGCCTACTCGGCTGCAGCCAGCTTCACTCAGTTCCACCTGCCGCTGAGGTAGTGGGTCCGATAACCCAATTGATAATCTGTATCCAATCATCTTTGCAGAGTCAAGTAAAATTCCGCTCCAGAGTCCAGATTCCAGAGTCGTCCACCACGGCGGCTATTATTCCGTGTCTCCCCTGGTGCAAAATGAAGGCGGCACCTAGATGGACGGCAGTCGAAAGGGGGATGCCGTGAGACCGTCTAATAGGTTACGCTTATTGAGCATTGGTCCGTTGGGGAATTTCCCGTAGAAACTACGGGGCCCCTTGTCCAGGGGAGAAGTTAGGGCTTTCGGAGACGGGCTGAAGCAGTGGTGCGATATCCTTAAGGTTTGGCGATACATGTCGGCTTTTCCGGCTCCAGAAATGATCGATGCTGGCTCGATGGCATAATTGGACACACAACAATTGCCACCAATCAATCTAATCGCCGAGAGAAAATGAGGTGTCCAACGGTCGGCTATCTGCTTCATCTATATAGCCTCCCCTCCCAGAAGAAAAAACAAGAACGAAAAGATCACTGGAGAGAGAGCACGACATTTCATTCATGAATAGAATGCCAAAACCAACGCTCAATCCGCTCATTGATCCATGTTGCGTAGACAGGCTGACAGAGAATGAAACAAGTTGTTTACATCCAGCTTTACTCGGCCAGAAGTCTGTCAATTCGACCCGAATGAGAGTATGATAGATATTGTTTCTTCCATGAGAGTGTCGTCTCCAAGATCTGTTCAATTGGAATAAGGTTTGTTTAAGGCATGTTGGCGTTTGATGATCTCAGTTGAATGTCTCAGATAATTCTCACGATCAACAACCGGGTAACTTATTTAGTGTGCCAAAGGCCGAGCAAGCATAAGGCTTGGGAACAGTGGATTCTGATATGTCAATAGTCTAGATTGATCGATATAACACTGTCCGTGGCGTGCTCAATATCCTCCAAACATCGAGTGATCCTGCCATTATTCAATCGTCATCATAATAACGAAAAAAAGGCAGAAAGGAGAGGGAAATGAAATGGGGTAGAGAGGACGGACGACAAAGTACCGCATTTGGGACTGAAGGGCGCTGACCGAGTCGCAAGCCATGACTTATCAAGTTGCTTCCACGCCAGGAAATGGAGATGGCACGTCAGCTTCCTAGGGCTGGGGCCAGACGGGCGGTTAGCGTGTTTCAGCATTTAAGCCTGTTTTAAGTAGCCGCTACGCCCGCTTAGCGTAACCAAGCCTATTAAGAATAGCAGAGTGTCTGTGCTTCAATTTATGCTAGACAATCTAAGAGAATTAACTCAAGCCATAGAAAGAATTTGGGGTTTGAACTTTAAGAGGCATCTGTTGATAATCTCGACGGGACGGTGTACTATATCCACCGAAAAGTCTAGATGTGAGTTCTCAGATCCTGCAACAATGTTGTCATCCGCGAGATTCTCGCTCAAGTGAACGATATTACTGAAAATTTTTTCCTCCATTGTACAATGAGATTTGCCTGTTCGTGCTTCAAATATCACGAATAGAGTTCGAATTACATGATGAACGGGCGAGAAAAAGAAAGTCATCGGGTGGCCATGAGCCATGTATAATCCCTCAGAGGAAAAGTTGGCAAACAATAATTGACATGATTCTTGACACAGTTGGCTTGTTCATGTTCCCTCTTCACAACAAGGACGCTAAATAAAGTTATCGAAATAACCCAACATCTTTGATTCATCGCGATGCGTCAGACCACACAGCGCTAGAACAATTTGCACGGTTTTCGTTTCTGAATTGACATCGCCAATGTAGGCCAAGTAGCTGTCACCGATCTTGGCCTCTGCAGCCGCAGCCTGAGACTCATCGACTGGGCTTGCCGAAGAGACAGGGGACTGTGTTTGGGATGAAAGTCGATGCCGTTGTTTGTTTTGGTTGGTGATGAGATATAATTAGCTCGGAAGTCGGGAACAACGTTAATCCGTCCGAGGCTCATATTTTGCAGAGGCCACGATCCTCTTCAACACCTAAGCACTCAAGTATCTCTGTACTCTAGGCTACGTTTTAGATAGAGTATTACTCCATTCATTTGCATTCTCCTTATGGCTTAGGCCTCGTACAGCTCGGACCGATCGAACTCCTCCATCCCCCTGAGTTTCCCACTTCAGTTGGGTGAAAAGGGTTGTGGCAGAAATGTGGGTCTACCGAAGAAGTGATTATTCAACTGAGTTATATGATCATATTCAAATGAATGAAGGTCTTGATTCTTTCTAACTACACGATAAAGAAGCCGATATTTATGCAATTTCAGGGGCTTCATGGTCGTCATAAATGAGCGGAATTGCACGATTTATCGTCATAAATCAATGCGGTTGCATGATCGATCTGGTCAAGCAAGGCGATGATATAAGCGGTTTTAGTCATCTACCGCGGCCACAAGGGTCAGTTGCCGTTCACGTGATGGGACCAGGGAATGTATGCCTCAGGCAATGATGTTCCCTTCCCGCCTGAGGTGTCAACTGCAAACCCTTGCCCTCCATGGCGATTTAATGCACGCAGTAGCAGCGGTGGTAGCAGGGCTGTTTTAAGCCAGACGAGTCGATGTGCTTCAAGAGGGAAGTTGTGGTACTATGCCCAGCTTTTGCTACTAGGGATGTGTCTAGTTCAAATGTAATTATTGAAAGAGGATCCAATTCCAGAAAACAAAGTTGTATGAGATAGCTATACGTAAAGCACTTCTATTAGACCCTATCCCTCCGTATGACCGAGACCCGTAGAGTTATGAATAGTTAATAGCCTAAGATAGCCAGATTCCATCACCTGTCTCAATCTCAAATCTAGATGTTGAGGCTACGACGACCAACGACCCACAATCGGGATACCCGAGCCCTCTCAAGCTATTCAACAGACAGTTCGCCCCTCATCTAACCACCACCAAAAAAAAAAAAAAAAAAAAAAAGAGACGGTATTAGGGATTCCCTACCAGGGTAGCTAGCCTCTCCAAGGGAGCAAAAAAGAATTTGTACGAATATTCCGACACGGGGAATCGAACCCCGAGCTGCCGTGTGAGAGACGGCGATGTTAACCATTACACCATATCGGATGTCGGATATTAAAGCGGGGTTAATTTAAATTCATAAGTCCTAAGCCAAAGAAAGTTGACATTTTTGGCTGCAGTATATGGTCTGCAATATATACTCTTCCGTCATCACGAACCAGGTATACACAAGTAGTCCTCTTAACACGCAATTTATCCAACAGTTCTCGAATCACCAGGTTTGGCTTGCCCGTCGACGTCTCAATTGCCCGGACCTCCACAGCGCTTCGGCAGTGTAATGTAATGACCCTGTTTCCTGCAGAAGGCCGAGAAGCAATTGTTTATGGCCCTGGGCGGCCGCACCGTTTGCATGCCGCTGCATCAGCAAATTCTGGATGATACATCGGATTTGTAGGCTGGCATTCTCAAGTGCGTGGAGCAATATTAAACTCCACTTGTCTTCGTCCAAGTCCTCGCAGAAGCCTTTCGAGTCTTGGTACTGTGTACAATCAAGATGGTGAGCGGAAATACACATATTAGATGTAAATGATGGAGAGAGCCCTACTTGATCCACCACGAGCTTGGCATAGTCATCGCGGATCTGGAAGTATCGGCCAAACAAGATCATCAGTCGGCCAAGATTGGCTGGTTTGTGCGGAGAGGATGATTGCGCAATCATGAGACGCGCAGTCATGCGGAATAAAGCCCCCCTTTCTAGATTGATGAATTCTCGGTATAAGTATAAAGATCTCAACCGGATTGATTGCATAGGTGGAAACCGCTGCTGCACACTTACTTCCGTCGATCATCTTCAGGTATTCCGGGACCGTCGGCGCTGATACGTGGTTCACCCGGAAGAGGTCGTGACTTTGGCCGATTAACATGTTTTCCATCTCACCTGCTTCTGGTCAGCCAACTACCCTAGAAGGATGCATAAAGATGTCTAATATACGCCTACCATCAACGATTCCATGACAGGCCGCACCACAAACCTGGGCTGTCCGGCTGATCACATCAACTACTTGATAGGTAGCTGAGTTAACTATCTGTGGGACGCCAAAAACCGAGTGTGTTGACGGCTGTGATCATCGCAGCGGCGACCCGTTCTCGACATCGCCGAGCCTGTGGATAACAAGTGTTAGTATGAAAACAGCAAAAGCCAAAGCACTGCCGCGCACCAGGTTGTCATCAGGCGAGAGATAGGCATCAATACGCACATCAACGAGATGTTGTGAATGTCGCGGATGATCGACAGCGTAGCCAACAGGACATCACGGGACACGCCGATCCATACATTCAGCGCCTGAACGAGTTGATTGTGAACGCCCTTAGAGGACAAGGAGGAAAGATATTCGAAGGGGGACATAACAGGCTGCATGGTACAGGGAGTTCAAATAACTCAGTTAGTGACTTGAGTGATCTTGTAAAGCCGTAGCCATAATCATCGGCTGCCTTTCACTCCAATACACGTACCATGGTAGAAAGCGGAGACGGACAGACATCTAGTGACGATGCCGGGGACGGCGGAGCACACGGCGCTGCCACCTCGGCGGGCTCGTTAATGGTGAGCATGCCCGACATTATACTTCACGTCCAAGACAACCGTAGGATGTAGAGATATAGAATACCGAGAACACAATGAATCGCAAGGAGGTATACTAGATCAGATGTGAGGGTAAAGGCGTTTCGATATTTTGATTCACCTGAAGCGCGGTGCAATCCGAGGACCATCCTAAGGAAGTAGACAGCAAATTTGGATAAGGGTAAGGAGATTACACACCGGGAGGGAATACTGAGGAATTATGGAAATGTGCCATTTATAGAACAGATTCGTTTGTCGAGGAAAAAAACAACTTCGACGCGAATCAAATTTTTGAAATTACTCAACCACCACGACGGCTACGGCCTCCAGAACCGATCAGTTTGCCAATAACTCCAACCGCTATCGAATGATCCTATTTCCGTAGGGGATTTCGAAATGGTTGGGGCGAAAACCCCGTGGCCGGCCCTTTCAGGGATTCCCGAGGCAGCAAATTCTTTAAATCAGAATTTTCTTACTTGCGTACTGAACCTCTACGCCGACGCGAAATCGTTCATTTCGCACAATGAGCAAACCGGAAAACAGCTCCCAAAGCCTGTTATCAACTTCTTTGAGCAAGTAGTCACTTACTGCGGATATATGTAACACCAAGCAACCGATATTCTCGATAGGAATGCCTATCTAGGACCTGAGCTGGCCTCGATCAAGCAGACCCTTCAGAATGTCCAACAACATACCTATAGTACCCAGTCAAGCATTCGGAACCAGAGTCACCATTCCTGGGCCTCTATAGTCAGAAATGCGCCTCTTCTAACCCATACGATCTCCTCCTACGGCTCCTCTAGTACCGCCCCGGCCACCCCGTCGGAGCTCAGCAAGGATCGCGAAGTAATCGTTAAACTGCGAGATGTTGGTACCCAGAAGACCTACCGAAAGAAGTCATCGGCAGAGATAAAGGACAAGACAGAAAATGCAAGGAAAAAGGCTGCAATAGCAATTTCTGCATTTTCCCTGGCGAGAGCCCGATTCGTTTCCGCTCGGCAGCTACGCTCGGAAGATTTAAACCTGGCATTACGTACTGCTGCAGAGGCCGAAACTGCTAGGATCTACGACAAATGGGCAGATTTCATGTCAAACGGGGCTACCCTGCGGCGCCCTACGTGGGGCGTAATAGTTTATAGTATCCCGATCAAGTCAATTCAGGACCTGAGTGATCAGGGCGAACAGGACCGAGTAACCAGCGAGCTACTTGACGAGAACAAAGAAGTTTGGAACCAGAAACCTGATATCAGACGCGTAACCTGGCTTACCTATCCTTCCAATTATAAAAACCAGAAATCTTCCGCTCTTATTGTCGAATTCTCTGGCCCGAGACATGCAAATGAGGCAATCATGAAAGGGACTATTTGGGCTAGCGATAACCGGATGACTGTTCTATATGATAGGAACGCGCGGATTCGGCGATACTTTAAATGTCAACAATATGAACACATAGGAATCGTTTGTTCGAATAAAACAATCTGCAGCCTCTGTACCGAAGGCCACGAGACCCGGTCTTGCGTACAGAGGTCTACTACTGATAGCTAGGGGCGCAAATGCGCTGGATGCGGCGAAGCGCACGCCGCCTGGTCAAGAGCTTGCATGAGATACGTAGCAGAGCAGGAGCGGGTGCAAGCTGCAGCTCAATATCGGCAGCCCCTGCACCGCATCCCGCCCTATCTACAGGATCATTCCTCCGTGGGTAGCGACACGGAGACCTCTAGCCCGCCCAACAGCGAGGGGCGGGCTGCAGGATCTGAGGGAAGAAGAAAGAGATTGACCCGGTCAACCAGCCGGCCAACAGAGCAAAATCGCTCTACAGTAAGGTTTCAAGAAAGATCTACACTGCTATACAGCTTACAGGAGCTTGTCCCTGTGCAGCATAAAGAGGCCCTGATAGACCTAAACCCGGAAATTGACGTAGACCCTATTCCGTCCGAGTCAGAACCGTCGATTGCCCAGCAAATCGATATGATTAACGAACCAGAGACGCCCGCACCAGTGACCCCTGCCCCCAGGGGTCGCACTCTGAGTAAAAGGCGCTCCCGCAGCGTCATCTCCTCGGAGATAACAAGGCGGCGCACTAGATACTAGGTAGCGCAGGAAGCTATCTGCCTTACCAGCTTGCCTGCTACAGAGAACACTCCTCTAGCGAAAAGGGCCTAAAGCAAGCAGTTAACCTACCGAAAACAACCAGCATCGACTAGCGATACTTTTAGCGATAACGCAGTAACTGCCTTCCTAAAATCGCCGGAGGCACCTCTTGTCCCTGCACCTACCCCCTCAGAACATTCGACTACGATCGTCCTGGCCGAAGATAACACGCCTGGCCGTTCAGTATCAAGGAAACGTACTAGGGATTGTCGCCATGAATAGACCCCTACACGTACTTCAATACAATGTGAATCGATCAAAGGATAGGGTAATGGTACAGTTCCTCCGGGACCCTGCGGTCCTAGAGGCTGACCTCATCTTTGTGCAAGAACCTTGGGAGAATCCCTACCAGAATACTACCTACCATCCTGCTAACGGCTCCCACCAGCTCCTATACCCGGATTCGACCGAGATAGGGGACGAGCGGGCCCGCGTATGCCTCTACATATCACGCCAAATCGATTTTAATACCTGGAAACATACAGTGCATTCGAAAGACGTCTAGGAGCTCAAGCTCACTGATGCTGACGGCCAACAAGTACGCATCTTCAATATATATAATCGACCAGACGAAGTGGATAGCACTACCCTCGACCTTGTTATCTCTCTAATTATCTTTGCCGGCCCTATTAACAGCTCTACTAATTCCCGTTTGCTCCTATTAGGCGACTTTAATCTCCACCACCCGGCGTGGGGAGGAGAACGCTCTAAAAGAGACTCCTCGTCCGACCAGTTACTGGAACTGATAGATACGAGGTTTCTAGACCTCTGGCTGGAGCCAGGCACTACCACGTGGGAGCGCAACGGAAACAAGACCACTATCGATCTGGTTTTCGGCTCGCAGGACCTGACCCCTAGGCTCGTTACCTGCGAGGTCAACGAGCGAAACCACGCAGATTCGGACCACTATCCAATACGAACCCTTCTTGATATCAGTACTAAAACCCCCGAAGCACAGCAAAGAAGGAACTGGAAAGCCTGCAGTATCAAAGACCTACAAAGCTTCGTGGACCTTAACCTACAGAGCAAGGCCTTTCCCTTGCAAATAAAGCAGCATATTGAGCTCGCTATAGAATACTTTATCGAGACGATCAACCAAGGAATCGCTGCCTCTACCCCGTGGGCGAAGCCTAGCAAGTGGGCGAACCCTTCATTCAATGCGGAATGCCGCGAAATGGTCAAGATTACCCGGAAATTCCGGCATAAGTACACAGAATCAGTTATTACGAACGGTCCTACTGACCCTACTACAGGCCTCCGGTAGGAGCGCTACACCAAAGTTAGGAACCCTAAAGGAAAGGTATTGGCTAAGGCACTGCACCAGGGCTACCGTTCCTGAGTCCGCAAGGCTACCGAATCAGGCCCTCGAGGCATGTGGAAGGCAGCTAAGTGGGCAAGAAGCAGGGAAACCCGCGGAAGCCTTATACCGACGCTAAAAACGGATGACGGGCTCGCAGAGACTGCAGAACAGAAAGTAGAGGCGTTTCGCAAAGCTTTCTTTTCTGAATCACCTCTGGCTGACCTCTCTGACATCCCTACGGCCCGGATACCCCCCCAGATCGACTTCCCGGACCTTACCGAGCACAAGGTACTCCGCTGTATCAGGCGAGCGCCTCCCGATAAAGCACCAGGACCGGATGGCATCCCTAATAAGGTCTAGTACTGGCTGGGTAAGGTCTCCTTCTTCCTCACTGTACTAACGCAGATATTTAACGCGTGCCTACGTCTTGGGCACAACCCGGAATACTTTCAGCAATAGACTACTGTAATGCTGCGTAAAGCAGCCTCTCGGGACTATCGCCTCGCCAAATCCTACCGACCTATAGCGCTCTTGAATACCCTTGGTAAGATCCTGGAGGCCGTGGCTACAGTACGGATCGCCTGGGCCCTAGAGAAGCGTAATCTCCTACCTAGGAGCCATCTAGGGGGCCGCAGGGGCATCTCAGTCGACCACCTGATCCAGTTGCTCCTT